CTCTCATGACTCTAGGCTAAGTGAAAGTGTTGACAAATGCAGTAAGGCTAAGCCGGAGCAAGCAATTGCGTGTTTGAAGTTCTAGAGCTCAAAAGATTTCCTGCCCTTTCCCTGTGTATTATCTAAACATGTAATTCGTTGAGATAAACGAACAATCTCAAGACGAAATTGAAAGCTTTTGAGTCTTTTCATTTTCAAACTAAAGAACAATATCCTCAACATGTCCTCAACAAATCAAAAAAAGTTATCTCAACACTAGCGTTGCGAGAGCAATCGTAAAAGCGCATATGGAAAAAAATTTTCAAAATTCACAATATATTGAGTTCTTTCTTTGGTTTGCATCTATTGCAAATGCGGCTGCGACCTTCGCAAGATGAGGGTTGCATTGGATCTGGAAGGGAAAAAAGAATCGTAAAGGGGGTTAGCAGAAAAAAGAAGAAAGAAAATGGTGATTTCTAAAATCCAACCTTGCAATTTTTGCACTCTCTACTTTCAATAGCGGCATCATAAGACACCAAGTTATAGAGTTATTTGAACTTAACCTGGATTTGCAGATATATCTAAGCTAACTTCTAGTTTTAATTATCAATCATCAACTCGCTACTTTTTGCAAAGCCTCTTCCTCATAAAGCAAAATCATAAGTCCTCTTAAATTCTTCTGTGGTCTTCATAAACATGCATCATGCAGCTTCTTATCAACAAACAGATCGTGGTATTGAAATAATTGGGCTTTTTGGAATACATTGCCTATTAATAATGTTGATTTCTACTGCATTAGTTTTGAAGTACATCCTCACTTTCTAAACACTATAACAGCTTTGCAAAAGCCCTCGCTCGCAACCTTTAACTGAAGAAGCACTGGATAACAAGTGAGGAATTACTGCTATCCTCCACCACTTCTCCTGAAGAACAATAGCAGCTACGTACAAGCCAAATTTGGCAGATTAAACATTGCTTGGATTACATGTCTTGAGGATGGACGACTCTTGCGAAAAATGATTATGAATTTCGCTGTCGAACTGC